ATATATGTATATATATATATATATATATGTATGTATAGGATTTTTTTAATCCTGACGCAATATAATCGATTAAGGTTTTTATGTAATCTGTTAAGTTTTTGCTTATGTTTTAACAGATTATCTTCAACATGTAATTGATTATTTAATCACATAAGTCAGTTATGAATTCAATTCAGGCTATAAATGTAAAGGATTAGACAAAGTAAACTGATTTAATCAATTACACAACTTATGTAATCGATTATTACAACACTTAGTCAAATTGTCTATCCAATTTCCATTTTAAAAAAATTATATCACTTATGAAGCATATTATGGCATGCTTTCTATTTTAATTGATTAGATACCATGTATAATTGATTACTACAGAACAATTTGTCCCTTTTAAGCATACTAAGTGAATTGGTGAAATCTAACAGATTATATACTATGTTTAATCGATTATTTCAACAAGAAATGTGATTATTAATCTGTTTTAAGCATGATTCATTTAACAATAATGAATTCATATATCAAGCACAAACAAGATAAAAATAAAACAATTGTTATGTCATTTGTTGTGCAAGAAACCACAAAATCATTCTTTTGTTCATCATCAAAAGCAAAGATATAAAGGGTAGGTTTAACTTCCCCAATCAAAAAATACAATTATTTATAAAAGCAAGATAAAAAATAGGATTAAACAAGTTTCACGCTAGAAAAGAGTTGATTTTGCCAAGAAAATGAGACTCAGATAATGGTAAGAATTAACGTTATCATTTGGTCGCCCTACTCACCAGGCAAACCTTATAAATAAGGCTCTCAAGGTTTTGCTCGTCGAGTGAAATTCATTTTATTAAAATTCAAATAGTTTAAGTAGTTGCATAGTTAGGCGAGAATAGTCTAATGTGCATTATTTAGTTGAGAGATTCAAATACTTGTTGACTAAGTTAAGTTAAATATGAGATATAAAATTTCAGAGAGTTAAAAAGGGATTAGTCATCGGGTGAGCCAATTGTTCACTGAGTGAGTACACCTTTAAATGTGTCTCAATGAGTGAGCAAGGATGTTTGTTTGGTAAGACTAAGTATGAAAAATAAAGCTTTATCTCATCGGGCAGGCTAGTAGCTTACTAAGCGAAAAAATGATTTTAAAAAAATGATTTTAACGTTTTAAAATAAAAATATGTGGATGTGTGAGGCTAAATAAAGTCTATGTGTTAGCCAAAATTTACTATATATGTGCGTGAGCTCAAGCAGAGTCAAAGTGTTAGCCAAAACCAACGATGGATGTGTATGGGCAAGTAGGGTGTGAGTGTTGTCCAATATCTACTTTTGATATGTGTCAGACATAGTGGAGTTTGAGTGTTATATCTATTGTGGGATTGTTTATCTGATATATGATTTATGTGGATGTAGTTATTTTCATGAAAAAAATACTATAGTTTTATTAAATGGGGATTTTAAGAATGAGGTTATTCTGATTCTACTAATACTTAACCTACATAAAGAAAAATATTGAGTGATGAGATTTGATGGAGGTTCCTCTATAATCTGGGAGGTGAAAAGGAATTGTGTCTTGTAGGTAGAAGGAATTTACCTTGTCATTAAGGATGACTTGGTTCCTAAGATACAATAGTGTGAGATGGGAGGTCATATGACATGTACAAAACCTCTTACTTTATACAATATATATATATATATATANATGATTTATGTGGATGTAGTTATTTTCATGAAAAAAATACTATAGTTTTATTAAATGGGGATTTTAAGAATGAGGTTATTCTGATTCTACTAATACTGAACCTACATAAAGAAAAATATTGAGTGATGAGATTTGATGGAGGTTCCTCTATAATCTGGGAGGTGAAAAGGAATTGTGTCTTGTAGGTAGAAGGAATTTACCTTGTCATTAAGGATGACTTGGTTCCTAAGATACAATAGTGTGAGATGGGAGGTCATATGACATGTACAAAACCTCTTACTTTATACAATATATATATATATATATATATAATAGTTAAGTAGAAATGTTGGAATTTTTTTTGTATTTAACTCCATCTAAAGTCTTATGCTCCACTCCATTTACTTAAATTAACCCTTAGTTTAACTTTGTCATCATCTCATTTCTTTAATGCATGGATTAGATACTTATAATTTTAGATTTTATGAGACACCCCAATGTTCATAGTGTTAAATAAAAATTTCCTTATTAAACATGCTGATGTTTTGAAACATGTGAAAAATTGTTGGTTTTTTTTTAACAAAGTATTGTAGTAGATGTTGTTTATGCTTTCATATTTAAAATTGCGTTCCTAGTATTCAGATTGGACCACTTTGTTAAAAGTAAATATACTTTTAAATTGTTAAAAATTAGTCACATTAAAAGTTAAAAGTAAGTATAGAAACTTTTAAGGTGAATTGTAACATCCCAGATTCATAGTTTTAACATTATTATAGAATTATCACATATTCAATAAACATGATCAGTTAAGCTAGAAGGAAACATAAAATATGATTACATTTATCCAAAATATAACCATAATTCAAACTTTATATATAAGACATTCTATTTTCTAAGATTATATAATCATAAACTAAAGTTTATTCAAAATAGTTAAAATTAAACCAATACTACTCTAACTATCTAGACATCAACATCCTCAACACCCAACACTTATTCAACTGAAATATCTTCCTCTGCTCACACCAATTAGGTGATTATTGTCAAAAAGGAAGATTTAAACCAACAAACAAAACACAAGCAACAAAGTAAGCTAAATTATAAAAGAATCAAGATATGTAATTCAATAAATTCATAACATAACAATTTTATCATCCAATTTAGATACATATACCTAGACTTTAGACTTTGACCATCCAGATACATGAGTCGAACTATTGGGAAACCTACGCATGTGTGGTAAAACAACATACCACCCAAACTACCACACAAGGTTAATTTGTCAAACACCTATGGTTAAACTGACCCTAAGCTGATTTCTTGTTACTCTTCACGACATAATCACCCTTCTCTAATTAAGGTTAAATGGATATTAGAGTGTAAGAAACATCTCCTCATTTCAAAGCTCCTACAAGAATACATTACACATGAGCATAACACAACATAAAAATCTTTCCCATGGAATTCCTTTCACCACATACTCAAACTGAATACATTTTCATCATTTCCATTCACAAGACATGCATAACTTATCACTAACTTTACATAATATTTTAAACATACATACATTAAAAGTGTATCTCATATCATTTCTAGTAAGCTTAAGTACCAAAAAAACATTAAAAGAAACCATAGAATCAGAAGAATTGCGACAACACGTAGAATTGGAAAAGAATCTTGGTGTGAGCGGCACATCCTTGCCGTTGAGCGCCATTTTTTGCGCAAAACTAGCGTCTAAGCACCACCTTGGTACCGCTGAGCGCTAAAGCTCTCGACTTTCTGGCGCTTGAGCATCATTGGCTGCAACTGAGCACCAACCAGAAGTTTAGCAACTTCAATTTTTGATCTAGATGCACACAAAACCTATTCAAATGATTCAATTTGTATCTTTGACACTATAATTGATTTCAAAACATGTTTATCCTTCATATTTGATACAAATAGGCTCATTTGATTAGTAACTCCGGTCCATTAAATCAACCCAATTACCTAAAGTTCCAAAACAATTTATCCTTCATTGAACATCAAAATTAACATCAGTAAACATCTCATCATATAAACACTAAAGTTCAAATTCATAAATCATTCAACAACAAACCAATACATATCATCAATAATTCATCAAACCAAACCTCAATTTCACAACATGCCAAACCTATAACACAGATTTATACTTATTATCACAAATTAAAGAAATTATTAGCTTCTCTTACTTGATGGAGAGCTCTAACCGCTATAAAACGCAAACAACCCCTGTCTCATCTCATATTACTATAGATATACTTATAAACCACAATATTATGATCAAGATAAGCATTTAGCACCCTTAGTTAACAATAAACTAAAAAAGAAGATTGAAAAACACATGTTGGAAGACTAACTTACATGCATCATAAATTATAAACCATTTCAATTAGTTTTTAAAATTATAATGTACAGTTTATTTAATTCTTTCTATTATTATCTCTTACATTTTAATATACTTTTTATATATTTTTAAATTTTAATTACATGTATTAAATATTTATATAAATTATTGTATTTTTTTAATATTTAATAGATTATTTTGTAATTCTTTATGAAAAACAAATTTAACATTACAAATTAATGCAATTAAACTTTTTTACTAAATGGTATTACATGAAAAATTTAAGATAGTAAAAATAAATTTAATATAATAATTTAAATTGAAAAGTAAAAAATAAATTACAATTTCAATTACTTAATAATATACTTTTTCTAAAAAAATAAAAATTTATTTATATAATTATATGTTTTTATGTCATTCTAGATTTACCTCACTAACATATCAATGACGAAAATAATACTTTTAAAAGACGAGGTATTAAAAGTATTATCAAAGTGAGGGTTTTATACAAAAGAATTGTCTAAAAAAATTAACACGAGATATTAAAAAATAATGTAATACAATAAAAGTCACAAAAATATAAATTAAGTTATTAACCCCACAAAAATGACGAAGAACCCTTAAGAATGCATAGGAATAAACTCCCACCATTGTATGGCATGCTGAATAAAGAAGGAAAAATGGTGGAAGAGAAGAAAAGAAAGGAAACGTAGACTTTGTTACTGCCACTGTACCAATTGATTTGTTTCAGTGAGCTTATAAGAATACTCTACCCACTGAGGTATGGCTTCTATCTATTCTACACTCTCATCAAACACTCTGCGATTCGCACTCTCTTCCTTCCCCAACACCAGTCTCCAACCACCCTCAAGCCACATCTTCTTTTCTCGCCCCCTCTCATTCAAAGGGCTTAGCTTCAATCCCAAGAGCTTTCCAGCCCCGCTTAAAGCGTCGATGGCGGGGACCAACAACGTTGTCATCGAGGTCTTCGAACAGGAGGATCTTGCTGTCTCTCTGGCCAAATACGTCGCCGATCTCTCCAATAAGTTCACTTCGGAAAGGGGGGCTTTCACCGTTTGCTTGTCTGGTGGCTCTTTGATCAAGTTTCTCGGGTGAGGGTTCTTTTTCATNTACATAAAGAAAAATATTGAGTGATGAGATTTGATGGAGGTTCCTCTATAATCTGGGAGGTGAAAAGGAATTGTGTCTTGTAGGTAGAAGGAATTTACCTTGTCATTAAGGATGACTTGGTTCCTAAGATACAATAGTGTGAGATGGGAGGTCATATGACATGTACAAAACCTCTTACTTTATACAATATATATATATATATATAATAGTTAAGTAGAAATGTTGGAATTTTTTTTGTATTTAACTCCATCTAAAGTCTTATGCTCCACTCCATTTACTTAAATTAACCCTTAGTTTAACTTTGTCATCATCTCATTTCTTTAATGCATGGATTAGATACTTATAATTTTAGATTTTATGAGACACCCCAATGTTCATAGTGTTAAATAAAAATTTCCTTATTAAACATGCTGATGTTTTGAAACATGTGAAAAATTGTTGGTTTTTTTTTAACAAAGTATTGTAGTAGATGTTGTTTATGCTTTCATATTTAAAATTGCGTTCCTAGTATTCAGATTGGACCACTTTGTTAAAAGTAAATATACTTTTAAATTGTTAAAAATTAGTCACATTAAAAGTTAAAAGTAAGTATAGAAACTTTTAAGGTGAATTGTAACATCCCAGATTCATAGTTTTAACATTATTATAGAATTATCACATATTCAATAAACATGATCAGTTAAGCTAGAAGGAAACATAAAATATGATTACATTTATCCAAAATATAACCATAATTCAAACTTTATATATAAGACATTCTATTTTCTAAGATTATATAATCATAAACTAAAGTTTATTCAAAATAGTTAAAATTAAACCAATACTACTCTAACTATCTAGACATCAACATCCTCAACACCCAACACCTATTCAACTGAAATATCTTCCTCTGCTCACACCAATTAGGTGATTATTGTCAAAAAGGAAGATTTAAACCAACAAACAAAACACAAGCAACAAAGTAAGCTAAATTATAAAAGAATCAAGATATGTAATTCAATAAATTCATAACATAACAATTTTATCATCCAATTTAGATACATATACCTAGACTTTAGACTTTGACCATCCAGATACATGAGTCGAACTATTGGGAAACCTACGCATGTGTGGTAAAACAACATACCACCCAAACTACCACACAAGGTTAATTTGTCAAACACCTATGGTTAAACTGACCCTAAGCTGATTTCTTGTTACTCTTCACGACATAATCACCCTTCTCTAATTAAGGTTAAATGGATATTAGAGTGTAAGAAACATCTCCTCATTTCAAAGCTCCTACAAGAATACATTACACATGAGCATAACACAACATAAAAATCTTTCCCATGGAATTCCTTTCACCACATACTCAAACTGAATACACTTTCATCATTTCCATTCACAAGACATGCATAACTTATCACTAACTTTACATAATATTTTAAACATACATACATTAAAAGTGTATCTCATATCATTTCTAGTAAGCTTAAGTACCAAAAAAACATTAAAAGAAACCATAGAATCAGAAGAATTGCGACAACACGTAGAATTGGAAAAGAATCTTGGTGTGAGCGGCACATCCTTGCCGTTGAGCGCCATTTTTTGCGCAAAACTAGCGTCTAAGCACCACCTTGGTACCGCTGAGCGCTAAAGCTCTCGACTTTCTGGCGCTTGAGCATCATTGGCTGCAACTGAGCACCAACCAGAAGTTTAGCAACTTCAATTTTTGATCTAGATGCACACAAAACCTATTCAAATGATTCAATTTGTATCTTTGACACTATAATTGATTTCAAAACATGTTTATCCTTCATATTTGATACAAATAGGCTCATTTGATTAGTAACTCCGGTCCATTAAATCAACCCAATTACCTAAAGTTCCAAAACAATTTATCCTTCATTGAACATCAAAATTAACATCAGTAAACATCTCATCATATAAACACTAAAGTTCAAATTCATAAATCATTCAACAACAAACCAATACATATCATCAATAATTCATCAAACCAAACCTCAATTTCACAACATGCCAAACCTATAACACAGATTTATACTTATTATCACAAATTAAAGAAATTATTAGCTTCTCTTACTTGATGGAGAGCTCTAACCGCTATAAAACGCAAACAACCCCTGTCTCATCTCATATTACTATAGATATACTTATAAACCACAATATTATGATCAAGATAAGCATTTAGCACCCTTAGTTAACAATAAACTAAAAAAGAAGATTGAAAAACACATGTTGGAAGACTAACTTACATGCATCATAAATTATAAACCATTTCAATTAGTTTTTAAAATTATAATGTACAGTTTATTTAATTCTTTCTATTATTATCTCTTACATTTTAATATACTTTTTATATATTTTTAAATTTTAATTACATGTATTAAATATTTATATAAATTATTGTATTTTTTTAATATTTAATAGATTATTTTGTAATTCTTTATGAAAAACAAATTTAACATTACAAATTAATGCAATTAAACTTTTTTACTAAATGGTATTACATGAAAAATTTAAGATAGTAAAAATAAATTTAATATAATAATTTAAATCGAAAAGTAAAAAATAAATTACAATTTCAATTACTTAATAATATACTTTTTCTAAAAAAATAAAAATTTATTTATATAATTATATGTTTTTATGTCATTCTAGATTTACCTCACTAACATATCAATGACGAAAATAATACTTTTAAAAGACGAGGTATTAAAAGTATTATCAAAGTGAGTGTTTTATACAAAAGAATTGTCTAAAAAAATTAACACGAGATATTAAAAAATAATGTAATACAATAAAAGTCACAAAAATATAAATTAAGTTATTAACCCCACAAAAATGACGAAGAACCCTTAAGAATGCATAGGAATAAACTCCCACCATTGTATGGCATGCTGAATAAAGAAGGAAAAATGGTGGAAGAGAAGAAAAGAAAGGAAACGTAGACTTTGTTACTGCCACTGTACCAATTGATTTGTTTCAGTGAGCTTATAAGAATACTCTACCCACTGAGGTATGGCTTCTATCTATTCTACACTCTCTTCAAACACTCTGCGATTCGCACTCTCTTCCTTCCCCAACACCATTCTCCAACCACCCTCAAGCCACATCTTCTTTTCTCGCCCCCTCTCATTCAAAGGGCTTAGCTTCAATCCCAAGAGCTTTCCAGCCCCGCTTAAAGCGTCGATGGCGGGGACCAACAACGTTGTCATCGAGGTCTTCGAACAGGAGGATCTTGCTGTCTCTCTGGCCAAATACGTCGCCGATCTCTCCAATAAGTTCACTTCGGAAAGGGGGGCTTTCACCGTTTGCTTGTCTGGTGGCTCTTTGATCAAGTTTCTCGGGTGAGGGTTCTTTTTCATATGAAAATGTTCTCAGTTTCAACCTAAGCGTGATTCGATTCAATTGTATTGGATTAAAGTGAATGTCTTTTCTGTTTGGGTCTCAGAAAACTACTGGAGCCGCCCTACTATGATTCTCTTGAATGGTCCAAATGGCATGTGTTTTGGCTGGATGAGAGGGTCGTGCCGAAGACGCATGAAGATAGTAACTACAAGCTTGCTTTAGATGGGCTTCTCTGCAAGGTAGATTTACTTGTGTTTTTTATGTTGGAAAATGGTTTATTTAGGTTGAACATGTTTCTCAAATTTTTGAGAATGTTTTTTGTTCCTTAAGTGTTGGGGTTAATGTTGAGGAAAAAAAAATGGGAAAAGGAGATTAGTTCAGGGTTATGTGTCTCCTTGAGTTCAATTGAAACCAATGTTAATACAGTCCATGTGTGTGGATGGGAACCCCATTTTGGAATCGCATACAACATGACATGTAAGCCACCCACAAATCCCAAAGAATCAAGCTTTTCCAAACAGACACAAGGTTTTGGGTGCAACCTATGTCCTGAGGAGGCCTGAGATTGGAGCTCTGGAGTTTAACTCCATTTGTTGGCTGTGTCTAGCCATGTCTTTTATTAGTCTAAGAAATGGGAGTGCTAGCAAGTAGTAATATACTTTCCAACAGTGTCTACTATTGTTTAAAATTTCTTGGAAACTAGGGGAGGGGGAGGACCTAATTATGTATAAGAAAGTGCTAGCAAGTAGCAACATACGTTTTTTCTAACATACTCGGTACACTTGGTTAAAATTTATTGAGAACTAGGAATACACCTAACCATATATTTTGCTATTCTTCAAAAGAGGGGTTCTGGAAACTAGTAACAAACTTGCTCTAACGCACTACTTACAATTGATTAAAATATATTGAAATCTAGGAAAATACGAGAGAGATTCACTGAGTTAGAAATGGGTCACAAAATGTTGGGATTTTGAATCAATTTCAAAGGAGTATATGGCTATAATTTCTCTCTAAGTAGTAGTTTTAAAGTAACCATTTAGTCCCTACATGTGCCACCAGATAGCTCAGATGAAAAAAAACTTAGGTTTTATTGCTTACAATATTAGTACATATTAGTCTCTGTCATTATATTTCTTAAGTTTCTTTTTTTTATCAATTGATTTCTAAATAAGTGTAACCTATGACCAAACAATTCCTTTAAACTAATTCATTTGGAACCTGAATGTTATGAAAATATCAAAGGAGGCTAAAAATATATGTGAAATTGTGAAAGTAAATGGGTGAGTACAAGGCTACAAGCATTTCATGGAGAGATTACTTAATTGTGGATGACCAGGTGGATGAATCCCCTTTGTTGGATGCTGCATAGTAATGCTTAGTGAGTGTATATCTCATTCGTATAAAATGATGCACGAGAGGGAAAAAATGGCCTTCTGTTTCAAGTTATGAGCTATATTTTTTCTGAGTAATGTTCTTTACGATGACTGCGTGACCAGATTATGTTGTCTAGCTTCCATCAGCAATCTATTTTGTCAATCTAACCTGTTGGTACTTCCATCCTGGTTCTCGTGGCAGGTACCAATTCCTCCGGGCAATGTGCATGCAATCAATGATACCCTTTCAGCTGAGGGAGCAGCCGATGATTATGAGACATGTCTCAGAGAATTGGTCAATAGCAGTGTGATTACTTTATCACCGAGCAGTGGATTTCCAAAATTTGATCTGGTGCTGCTGGGCATGGGCCCTGATGGCCACGTAGCTTCTTTGTTCCCAGGGCATCCTCTTGTGCAGGAGAATGAAAGATGGGTTACCTTCATCAAGGACTCCCCTAAACCACCCCCGGAGAGAATAACTTTCACCTTTCCAGTGATTAATGCCTCTGCTTACGCAGCGCTTGTGGTGACTGGCAAGGGTAAAGCAGATGCAGTTCACTCTGTGTTAGGAAAATCTCAAAATTCTGTTAAGCTTCCTGCTGGATTGGTTTCCCCTGAAGGGGAGTTGAAATGGTTCTTAGACAAAGATGCAGCCTCAAAGCTGTAGATGCAGCAGCTAAGCCAGTTGATCTATATGTTGTGCTAGTTATTCACCTTTGCAATTTTGAGTTTGCGTATGATAAGTGCTTAATTTCCTATTGTCAGTGATAGTTTTTGCATTGGACAGGGTTCATTCGATTTAAAGGCCACTTTTCTATCCTTATAGTTGAAATGAATCAAATAATCACTTGAACTTAATGGTTTTTATTATCACCCTTTCCCAAAATCAGTGCTGTCATGTGTTGACCTCTACTGGTACTTTCACGTGGAGCTTTTTGCTACCTTGCCTGTTGTATTTTGTATATGTGAAACACTACCATATATACAAATTATGGAAAGAATCACGGGGCTGAAAATTAAAGGTAAGAAAGGACTAATCAATGTGGAAATGAATAAGACAAAAAATTAACAAATTTTGGAAAAATTTGTTCTACACTCCTATTTGACTTATACACTCCATTTTATAAAAATTGGGTCACAAAATTAACTTTTGCTATTAGACTTTCTTATTTCCCTATTCTCACCCCTCTTACCACTCAAAATCATATCCTTTAATATGTTGTCAAAGGGCAATCTTTCACTCATAAATCTAGTCAATGTGATGCTACCACATGTCCATCATTTTCAACCTCTTACCATCCAACAAAATTCCTAGCTGCCACCATTAGACTACACTTCAATCAACCACAATATGTCAACTTCGTTCTTCCATAATCACCATCGTATGTCACCGCATCATGATAGTATAGCACCATAATATTCAAAACACACGTGTTGCGAACTAACATGTCATCTTTGTCGAGAGTGTTTCTCCCTGCATCTCACCTGTTTTGTCTTACACCTCCAATTTTTATTTAATTTTCACTTTTGTCCTTGTCGCACTTCTAATGTCGGCTGCCGCATTTTCAATGCCGGTTAAATGTTACCGCATTTTTGAATTGCGGTTCTTTAGTTATCCCTAGTGCAATCTTCAATTTCATGGCAAAAGTTAGGGGTTCTTTCGCTATAATTGTAAACAATAGGCTTACTCTTAAGAGAGACATCTTAAAAAGGAAATTAGACACACAACTACGTATGTTGGGCTTCGAGACAAGTAATATGTTCAAAGCATATATGGCTACTTGTTCATCAGAATAATGCAATGAAACCAAAATCTTAATAAATTCAGAATATTAGAAAATAAGAGCATAATTTATACCAGAAAGGTGATCCCTCAATGTAGCATTATACATAAATTCATAAACAAGCATCTGCAAGCATGAAGCAGCAAGCCAAATGGAAGGAATTCAATATAGTCAGAACCGCAATTCGAAATGCGGTGACATTCAACCAACGTTCAAAACGCGACAGTCTGTGTTGGAATTGCAACAGGAGCAAAGATGAAAATTAAATAAAAGTTGGAGGTGTAGGACGAAACATGTGAGGTGTAGGGAGAAACACTCCTTTGTCCACCATGAAAATTGACACTCACAGCCAACTAGATCTCCCCACTCAAACCTCCAATCACATATCTGAAACAAAAAAAAAATAGTATTGTAATCATTGTTGTCTAACCTAGAAATCGCAAACCAACAACCTAATAAGTAAGCCAAATTGTGTCTGTCACGCAACCATCTTGTGCCACCACACAAACATCACAACCTCACTTATAGAAAAATCAGACAAGTTACTATAAGAACAAGGAACGAACCAACACTAGATCTTCATCTACCTTAATTTTGATAGAAAGAGAAATTGTCACGTGAGAGTCTTTCATTGGACAATTCCCTATTAGGTTAAACCATTCAAATCGATTAAGAGAACCTAAATTTCAAATATTCCGTAAGTTTTAAAAAATATTAGACAAATATTTTTTATTGATAATTTTAAATATAATTTAATTAATTATTTTTATAAAATATTTAATAAATTATTAATAATTGAATTTTGCTTTATTTTCAATTTAGTCCAAAATTGTAGAGAAACCTAAAAAATATTAATATTTACATTTTAGGTCCTCTTGTTGGACTAGTTTAGTCAAATTTATGTGTTGTGGATAAATATCATATGAGAACTTTCTGATTATCAGATTTATGAATATAGAAGATTGTCACATAAAAACATTTTAAAAGATTTGATTTTGAGTGGAGAGGGATGGGAATAGAAAAATTATGGAGTTTGTTGACCATATTCATAAATGGAAGATTGTCACATGACAACATCCAAAAAGATCTAATTTTATGAGTGGTAGAGGGGTGAGAATATAAAAAATTAGGGGTTGTTATGAGTGGAAGATGGTCATATGGCAATATAAAAAAGATATGATATTATAAGTGGTAGAGGGGTGAGAATATAAAAATTAGATGCTTGAAACAATTTATTTTTACATTTTCAATCAATCAAATTTAACTTCAATTATAAATATTATAATATTCAAAATATAATTTATATAATTAAAAATATCTTTTTAAGAGATTTTATTCCACAATTTAATAAGTTTAATTATCACAAATTTTATTTAAATCAATATTTTTAAAAAAATTAATTAAAATTTTAAAATTAAACCTAAAATAAGCACACAAATATATACTCATCTCTTATATTTTTTTTATCTTTTACTGTTGGAAAGATTTTCTTTTAAAAATAAATACGTAATATATGTAATGTAATGCAAACATGATATTTTTAATATTTTTTATTAATAGAACAAGTTTCTTTAAAGAGCACATATGTAATAACGTAATATAAATGAGGTATAATTTAATTTGAGATAAATTCTTTATCTAGATTAATTTAATCTCGTTTAAACATCAAGAGAAACCTATGCAATGTAAATGATTCAATTAAATATTTTTAAAACTGAAAACATCAACCAAAGTCTTATCTAAAATATAGGGGATAAAAACAAAATGATTAAAAATATAATATAGAAATCATCATGGATTTAACAACTAAGGTTTCTAAGATAATTAATATTTTAAATTGTAAGTGGTAGAATTTTTATTTTATTTTGTAATTATTTATCCAAAAAACATAAACGTTGCATGGAAGAGAGGCTTTGTCTCGGAGTGTGTTCCATTTGATTCGCGCCTATAAGAAGACCACCAACAGAGGAGTGACATGCTCTGTACCCATTCTATACTAATCAAACACTTTGCGATTCGCATTCTCTTCCTTCCCCAACACCAATCTCCATCCACCTTCAACGCACATCTTCTTCTCTCGTCTCCTCACATTCAAAGGAATTAGCGTCAATCTCACGTCCATGTCAGAAACCAACAAGGCTGCCGTAGAGGTATTCGAAGGAGAGGATCTTGCCGTCTCTCTGGCCAAATACGTTGCCGATCTCTCCAATAAATTCACTTCGGAAAGGGGGGCTTTCACCGTTTGCTTGTCTGGTGGCTCTATGATCGAGTATCTCCGGTGGGTTACTTTTCATATAAAAATGTTCTCACTTTGAACGAAATGTTTCGATTGAATTGAATTGGATTGATGCGAATGTGTTTTGTGTTTGGGTCTCAGGAAATTGCCGGAATCGCCTTATCTTGATTCTATTGAATGGTCCAAATGGCAAGTGTTTTGGCTGGATGAGAGGGTCGTGCCTAAGACTCATGAAGATAGTAACTACAAGCTTGCTTTAGATGGGCTTCTCTGCAAGGTATTTTTACTTGTGTTGTTTATGTTGGAAAATGGTTTGTTTAGTTCGAATATGCGCTGTTTGTTTATGCCGAACATGTTCTCAAATTGTGGAGACTGTGATGACAAAATAGGGGAACCATTGTCATATCCAGTTTGGAAAAGCATATAATTTGGCTTCGGAATTCCAAGAAGCTGCTCTCACGTCAGTTTTTGTTTGAATTCATATATATCTCAATCAATCATATTATAAGTGTATTGTAATATCCTCTTATACACAACGCCCACATTAATTCACAATATCTACTAGTAGTGTTTTTTATTCTTATTATATGAACATTATTTCTCATATTTAATTGAAAAAAATAAAAATTACGAAAAAAAAAAAACTCAAAATTACATTAACCCTTCAATATCATATCAAAATGTTTTATGTTCGATAAGTGTTGTGGTGTTAATGTTGATAAAGAAAAAGGAGGTTAGTTCAGGGTTATGTATCTCTTTAAGCTGAATTCGAGCCATTGTTAAAACAGTCCATGTTTGAGGATAGGAACCCCATTTTGGAATCGCACACAACATGAAATATGGACACATTTTTGCTTAAGCCACCGACAAATCCTAAAGAATCAAACTATCCCAAACAAACACAAAGTTTTGGGTGCAACCATATGCCCTGGAGTCTGATTCCATTTGGTCGGGGTGTCTATCCATTGTCTTTCATTAATCTAAGAAAGGGGAGTGCTTGCAAATAGTAATGCACTTTCTTATATAGTGTTTGCAATTGGTTATATAATTTGTTGAAGGCTGGGACACAGGGGAACCTAACCGTGTCACTGACTATTCTAAGAAAGTAGAGCGCTAGCATGTAGCAATATTCGGTACACTAGGTTAAAATTTATTGAGAACTAGGAGGAGGCCTAACCATATATTTTGCTATTCTACCAAAGAGGAGGGCTGGAAACTAGTAACAAACATTTTCTAACATGCTATTTACTATATCGTTTAAAATATATTGAAATCTGGGAAAATGAGAGAGATTCATTGAGTAAGAAATGGGTCACAAAAATTTTGGATTTTGAATCAATTTCAGCTTAAAGAAGAGAGCGTTTTCAAAAAAGAGTGTAAATCGTTTAGACCCAACATGTATAACCAGATGGGTCAGATAGAAAAGCTTAGGTTTTTGTCCTTATATTGCTACACATTAAGTGGTCTCTTTCATTATATTTCTTAAGTTTTAGTCTCCATACGTCTTTATAAATATATATTTTTTCCAGCAAAGGTTGATTTCTAAATAAGTGTAAGCTATGACCAAACAAGTCCTTTAAACTAATTCATATCAAATCTGAATGTTACGAAAATATCGTAGGAAACTAAAATTATATACGAAGTCGTGAAACTAAGTAGACGAGTACAAGGCTACAAGCATTTCATACAGAGATTACTTAATTGTGGATGATCAGGTGGATGAATCCCCTTTGTTGGATGCTGCTAGGTACGGTGTTAGTTTGACACGTTTATTGAGCGTACGCATTCCTATGGGATGACGCAAGAGAGGGAAAAAATCTGCCTTCAGTTTCAAGTTA